AGTTAACACTTTGATTAGTGAGAACGGGAATTACGTTGTGCGACCACGGCAGTTCAAAGGGGATTTTTGGACACAGCAAAGAGAAGGATATAAGTCTTCTGGAGACTTGCAATGGCATAAATATGAGACATGTAGAATGAATCGCAACAATGAGGTGCCTTTTCTACGACCATGGCGGTTTAAGTTATTAGGATTCGTGACACTGCCATGAGAAGAGTAAAGTAGGTTGGAAACAGACCAAGATTTGGTTATTGATAAGCGAGCCTAGGAGTTGTAGCAATTAAACTTACTTAGCAATCGGCATCGACTTCAAAACTTCTAGGTTTTGATAAAATTTTATTTGATTAGTATGCTCAACTGCTTCAGAAAAGCTACCGTTATGGTCGAAAATGGGGCAACTATTGCTGTTTTAATCGGGCGAGTATTCAAAGAGGGGATTGTTAAAAAGCCATCTTCAATTAGCCATACTCGCCTTGACACGGAAGAACTTCATACCCATAAGGAGAGAGATAATGCTGTGCATTGTATGTGGATTACTCTCCTTCGCACGCAGATGCTCCAGTCGTGTGGAAAAGTGTTGTCGCACGAGGTTAAATCTAAGGAGAGGAGAGGTTAAAGAGAAATATGGCTTATTATATTGCTATACGAAGGCTCAGCCATGCAGGAACATTTTCGACTCTCAAAAGATAGCGATCACTGAACAACAAGAAAGCCTTCTACATTTAGTTCGCGCAGATGAGCTGTGCTGCATCAAATTGCATAAGCGTTTCCACGGTAAAGTTAGGGGTTCTCTGAATCGTAGTGTTGCATGTAGATGAACCTAAGCACTTTACTTCGGTCTGATTAGAGCCTACGAACGCACTAAAATTTCAGTACAAACGACAAAATGGTACAGACTGTTTTAAGCTAGCTCGGCTATACAGAAGTCTGCGCCACAGCTTTTCCTATATCTGTTAGACACCTGCCGCTGTGCGGATGTGGCAAGGAAAGGAGTAGAGACAAATACAGTTCGCAATCCATCGGATTGTTTGCCAACTCGGTCTGTTATTCTATCTATCGCGCGCACACGTACGTAGAAAACGACACAAATATGCAAATTACGAGAAAGGTGCGGATAGCTGACCTCGTCTGCGACAACTCGCCGACTACTTTGGCGTACATATCCGCCACAGTATTGATGTTTTCCGCATTCGGTTTCGCCTGCAAACTACCAAAAGGATTCACAATTCAAAAAGAGCTATGGCGAAAATAAATAATGTTAACGAGAAAGAGACCCACTTCTCCTTGTATTCAAAATGCTTGAAAGAACGATCAAGGATCCTGTTAATTATTTCATCGTGACCCGGATGGTAGGGCAGCTGTTTTAGCACAGAGGTCAACGCCTGGCAGTAGAGAATGTCGATACACAGCTATGGGAACGAGAAAGGCAGGGCTTAATCATGACTAACTTTTAAGAGGGAAAAGAAATCGGTCGAAATACTATGTCTGGGTTCATTAGCTCGGAGTTAAGGCACTACATCCATCATGTTCTTCGTTTTGGAGCATTAACGCCCTTGCAGATCATAATCGATTCTACAGCCGACACCTTAAAACCCACCTTATCCTTTCTGGTGAATGATGAATGCAATACCTTGTTTGCGCGGCTACCTGTAAGACTGATGGGCACTTTGGTATTAATCCTGCATTGGGTTGCAGGGGCTGGACTTGGAACCAAGTCAAAGCCCGACTTCCTACCCTTCTCTATGAATACAAGAATTCAACTCGACTTAATGCCTTCTCCTCCTTAATGGGAAGTATCAGGACGATACAATAGAGTATCTGGTTCGTGGTAGTTTCTAGACCAATCTTAGGATAGAGGTAGAGGTAAAAAACTTGCTCCAAATTGAACAAGCAACTCGTATTAAGAACCAAAAGTAGTCGGGCCTTACTCTAAGCTCATACTTAGCTTGGCGTACTTAAAACTCCGAAATATTGTGCGGCGGTTCAAAGACATAAACCATAATCAAATGAATCACGAATTTCAGCCCCAAAACACAACGACGACACAAGAGCGAATAACAGCCACTCATTAACAGCTTCGGTTAAAACATGAGTAAATCAAGATGAGGGCCAAAATAGCTAAGAATCTGCCACCATCGATGATGAATAGGTCTGTCAATGCAGAAGCGACCAGACCAGAACTGTGACGTATAGCTACAAATAGTTCCACTTCCTACGGTGAAAATTTGTGTGGATACGAAATAATTGAATGGCGTCCAAATGACGGTGGAAACGGACTCAAAATGGCAGAAGACTTAAACGCTCTATTCCCAATAAGCCTGCATTTCAATTATTGCCTAAGTAACTAGCCGATGGCCGTAATCGCATCAATTGTGAAGATTATCATTTGAAAAAAATTTGGTCCAAAGACAGTGATAACCTTGCGCTCCCAAAGGACTAACAATCCAAAATGATTCAAAGTGAGTTGATGTCCTTAAGCAGTTTATTGCGTATAAACATTATTTCAGCGCCTCTTATCGAACAGATAACCGAGAGAATATTGCAGTGGCAATAAGACTATCCACTCTATCAACTTACATCTCGTCTCTCAGCCATATTTTCGCGCACTGAGGTAGACAATCCGTGTTTGATTGTGTTTGATTCCTGAGGAGTAGCAAAAGTAGCAGAGAGAGGCAGAACAATGTTTCCTGATTCTCCAGCCACAGCAACGGCGCCACCAGGATGAGCTGTAGTACCAGGAGTAACATCGGCACCAGTACCAGTAACGGCGCTGGATCCCTCCACATGCATGGATCGAATGAGGAGATCATGTCCCCCAGCTAATGAAGGAGCGTGGCCTGTAGCAGCCGAGAGAGTATGACATCGAGTTCCCAGTGTTTTGGAGGTGACGCGACGAAAAGGATAGAGGGCACCACTGGAGTGCTGTGTGTCGTACCACTTGTTTATAGTCTGCAAAAGGCATGGCAACGCATGCTCTGCACAAGTATGGAGAGCGGCCAGCAACTGCTGGAAGGCCGTGTCCTCTTGCAGGCGCATACATTTGACCAGATCATTATCCTAACATGAGAATAAAAAGGCCAAAGTCGTCGATATTAAAAAAGTTGCGATTTTTATGCAACTCAACTTACCACTTTATCATCAATAGCACCTTCAACTTTGCACTGACAAATGGAAGCAAATTGTTTCAAGAGAGAATGAAGAACTAGTTCACCTGGACTTGTGCCTATCATTATTTACACTAATTAGGAAGTAAAGCCTAAAAAGAACATCCACAATAAGCTATCAGGATGAATTTGAAATCAGCTATATCAAAAGGTAAAACCGTGATAATACAAACAGGGGGGCGGAATAAACTGCGCAAAGTTTCCCAGCATTATAGTTCTCACAAAAATCTTGTAACTAATTACTCGAAACAACAAAATTGACCAAGCCATAAAAACAAGGGAAAGACAAATTCGAAAGCGAATAAACGCATCAAGTAAAATTTTTCCAATTTCTGAAAGCGCGGTTGGAAGCCATCCATGTGTAGCCTCCACGCTCACACACTCAGAAAATAATTATCAAATTAGAAAACAGGAGGTTCAAAGTTGCAGACGTCAGAAATTGTTTCTACAGAGCAACATATTCAAAAACATTCGAAACTTGGTGCTTAATTTTACCATCCCAATATTTAACGGATCGACAATAATCACAACGAACAAGCCTCACCCCAAACACCAGATTTGAAAGCGTGCTTTCCTCCCATTCGCGGAAGAATTATTTGAGACCACAAACATAGAAATATTCACGAATCTTCAGACGTAAAAAACCACAGACACTTAATTGATCGATGACAAACAGATTAAAAGTAAGTCCTTGTACCCTAGCAAATCACCTCTAACTTTATAAAAATTCTATTTGCTAAAGCACTCCAGATGCTTCGAGATACTTTCGAAAGAAATTGAAGAAAGTAAGTTTACAACCAATAGTATGGTTAATGTTGTGGCACTTTGTTCATTTGACAACCTAGTATTTCGCGTTAATTTTTTAGTTTCATTACCTTTAACTTTTGGGCTGACCTTCGACTCAAGCTCAGGCTTGGATCCTCTCTACCTAGTGGGAAGTCTTGGAAAGCTACAGTTGTCCATGTAGCGTCCCGAGGCTTTCCATAGGGTAGAAGAAGGCATAAGTGAGGTTGTATGCATGTATTCCGAAGACGACAGGACAAATGGAGCCTGAGCGTAGACCGAAGACCAGCCCAAGTGTACAGAGGCTAGACAAATTCTAAAGTGACGGCCAAGCGTCAGGTACTCACACAAACAAGGCTTTACAATACTGCCTCTCTCTTCTTTAGAGTGACGTCCTCGGCGATCC